AAAAGTCTCTCATCAAGAAAGAGCTTACACATAAAATATTCGAGGACTGTGTTTTAGAAGGGAAAGAAGATCAACCATGAACTGCTCAATTCCTCCGAAGTTACAGACATCGAATGTATAGGATATCGCAAACAAAGAGAAGTGTTAACCCACTAGATAGAAAATTGTGGATAGCACAAGATATGGAAACGACATATTTATATGGAGATTGTGAAATTCCGGAAGAATAAAATAAATCGTTCTACTTATTGTAAAAAATATATCTATTTAGTCGCATATAAAAATAATTTTCAATGTTATCATAATAAGTATTTCTTATCTGAAAATGCATATTAATCTCTCTGTTTTACAAATAAATAAGAGACATCTATTGTTGTTGTATAAAAATGATTAAGCTTATTTTTTGACATCGAATGAGGGCCTGTGCGTCGTATGAGATGTGCCAAAGTTTTAGATTCTACCTATCAGATAAAATGCACAAATAATTAGGATCAGCAAAGATAATAGATCGTCCATAGTAGATAAATTTTTAATGAGATGACCGCGTAATTCGAAAAAACCAATGATTATTGATAACTTTAATAGCGTGTACCCATAGCAAATCGACAATCAACGCCAGGGAGATTCTGAAATGCGTATAAAAACAGCTCGAATTCGTATAATTTTTCTACTTCATAACTATAACATTCAAATAAATATAATAAAAATCTGCTAAATCACGTTAATAAAACGTCATAAATTAATCAAAACATAAATTATATTAAAAAATATCATTCTTATATTCGTCAAAATCAAAGGTATGTTAGGATACTTGTATATCCCGTTGTATTATAAATGAACCACCAGACTGACTGATATTATTTTTTAGATGACGCCAACTGAAATTTTCGAAGCTTTCAAAAAAATGCCATTAGAAAGTTATTTTATTTCAATTCCTATCTTGATTCTCATCGTGACATTGATATTTGGAGAAAAACTATTTATATACCTATTTATTGTCATCATATGCTTCGTTTTCTATATTTTCAAACAACAAATCGATATGGAACTTAAATTATTAAAAGAGAAGTGAAAAAACGAATCTAATGAAATATATAATAAAATAGACGATCTTACCGAAAAAATTTCTTTGTTTTATGAAGAGTTCCAACAACAAAGATTTCAGGAAGATGATACGTTAAATAATAATTCGAGTAATAATTCAAGCAATTTTTCAAGTAGTTCTAGAGGTAAGATCTTTAGTTATACTAAAGGCTTCGCTATTTCAACGTATAATATATAATGATACTTTGATGAGTTTCTCATAGTAAATCAAATATTTCCGTATTATATTAGGTTCAAGACGCACTTCGTTTTCTGATCCAGTTGTTCAGAAATTTAAAAACCTTTTTGACGAGACTATGCGAGAAAACGATTATTCTAAAGCCGATATGATTGCTGAAGTTGTAAGTGATCTTAGAAAGGAGAAGAAAATAAAGGTTGTATCGAGCAAAGCAGTGGAAAGTTATTATAATCAAACAACGAAACCCGACGCCAGGACTATAGGAGCGATTAAATCTTGGATCGAGCTCAAGACTAAAGGAAAAAACAAATCTACATTTAACGATAATGATAATGTTAATGAAGTTAGTGGCGATGATAGCGATGATGAAAAAAAATATAACAATAATAAATAGTTTTTTATCCGGTAGAGCCAAAGTATAGGGACGTATATTCATGGTCTAGGGGCCGTACGTTCTCTCCCTTGCAACTCTACCGTAAAATTATTTTATTCTTGTATTTCGCTTGATTAATCATTAAATCATAATGATAATAATAAAAAGAATCTGCAACAAGCCGAAATTTTATTATTACTATGTAGATCCTTTCTTTCATCAATGGGGCACGAATTAATTGATTCGAATAAGAATTTGTACTGCGAATATGAATTCGATTTTTTTTAAACGTTTGCATTCGTCTAATTTTCCACAAATATCTGTGGAATTTTATACTATTGTTTCGCATTACAGAGAATTTTAAAAAACATATAAAATTCGTTAAAACGTAATTAGTAATTTCTGTATGACGAAGTTTAAATGCAATTTTCTTGTTCCACATCGTCATGATCTAATTTGCATAGCGGACATAAAGACTCATCGGTAATTCCATAATAATCATCATTTCCATCACTACCTTCTTGATATAAGTTAGGATATTGTTCTAGTGTTTTATTACGGAAATATGCATGGCTATGAGCTGGATTGGATGAAAATATAGGTGATGCACTTACCTCATTTTCATTTTCTGGATATAAATTAGATGATATACTTACGTCAATGTTTGATATGTCATTTGAGCAAGATGGTTTGGTTGTTTGTGCATGAAGATTCTTCACGCTGATCACTTTTTGACATTCAGCTTGCTCGTTAACTAATTCTACATTAGGCTTTTCAGAGAAAAGCTTTATTATATTTTGGATTTGAACACCTGTTAAACTAGAAATAGCATCAGCACTATACGTAACTTGTTTGATTTTATCTATTCCTATTTCTTTGAATAATGTATAAATATTTCTAGCCTTTTGAGTTTTCTTACACAAATACTCTCTCTTAATGCCAGGAAGAAATGGAACCATTTCATTATAAATCTGTGTTCTCGCCATTTGATCGTTAAGTTCGTTTTTAAAGCTAATGTCTGTTACCTTTTTTTCGAATTCCTCACTATAACAATACCAACGTAAAATTTCTTTCTGGCCAGTTTTTTTAGCCTTGTCGAATAAATGGGCCAAACGCAATGCAGAACCTGGGGTTGAATCATCTCCATCTAGCGTGTTTTCAAGAATTTGTCTATCAGGTATGGGATTCGAAAGGCTTTTCTCGTTAATAAATGTAGATAACTCACATATTAAACCTTGTTCAACCTTTTGATTATAGGGAATTTTTATTTCGGAAGAAATAGCACTTTGTTCCTGATTGGATGAAGAGATAATAGACGATTTAGATTCAGAAGAAGAAAGTTTTGTATCTTGAATATTTAGATCTTTATTAAGTAATGATTTCTCTGCTTCGTGTATGGAAGCATTCTTATTCGGTGATATAGAAATCTTAGGGATAGTGTTCTCAGGAGTTGAGAGTAACTCTTGATCCCGAAATTCATGTTCTACCTTCTCTTCCAGGCGACGTAAGTTGCTTTGCGATGCAAATGATATGGTTTCTGCATGAGATGTAGTGGTTGCCGAATCCTGGTATATGTCAGAATTAGATGTGTTATTGCGAAGCAATGGCTCTTCGAGCCTAGACTCCTCATTACATGAGATTATCTGTTCAGAAGTATCGTTAGAATTTGTTTCATCATCTAACGATATGGTATTAGTATCGATGTACTGGTACTGTTCCAATTTCGCTACTCTGTTTCTAAGCTCTTCGTTTTCTTTTGCTGATCGTTCTAATTCGAATATTCTGGTATTAAGTTCGGCGTCTCTTAACTTTGTATTTTCAGCATCTTCTTTTATAGATTGTTCTAATTCTACAATTCTAGCCAAGAGCTCGGTATTTTTACTTATAAGTGAATCCTTCTCTCTTCTAAGCTTATCAATCTCGATTACGAGCTTGGAATTCAATTCTCTCAATGAGGAATCAGAAACTTGAGTTTTCAACTCATCGTCTTTAGATTGCATGTTTAATATCAATCTATATAATTTTGTCAAAAATGTTCGGAAGAATATTGTATACGTCTTGAAATATTTTTATTGATTTATGCCTTTAATTTCAAATAAAAATCACGTGCGCGTGAAGAATCTTCACGCCGATCACTTTTGTCAAGAAAAAAAATAATTACGATTGATATGTTTACAGTATATATATATGATAATTCAACCACCAGGGTCGGCTTTATTAATATATGAAAAATAAAATACAAGATAGAAATATGATACTCTAGTAAATTTATGTGTCAGAGTCACTATTACCTTGTAATGACTCTTCGAGTCTAGCTCCGCTATCCGAATCACCTAATAACTTCTTGGTGGAGAATATGTGGTCGACATCATTGATGATGGTGTCCGATCTTCTGTAAATAGACGCGTGGGTTTTGTGCTAAAAAAAAAGTATTACGATTAAGTAATTGATCATGACCCAATGAAATAAAATTTCCTCGGTGGGTACAATTAAATCACTCTTTACAATGTAGCTCGATGGTTTTATAAACCGCGGGAAGTCTTCGCAACCTTCCTCTTCTCACTACGCCTTGCTTAGAGGACAACGACCACTCCCGAGAAAAAGGATGCCTCAAAGAGACGCCCTTAAAGGTCAGAAAAAATATAAAGTGAAGCTTTTTCACATTAGGGAGGGAACAGTCGGATCCTAGGCCTGCCTCGAAAGGCGATGACTGCCCCTATACTTCAAGCTCCACTTAATATAATGAAATTACATATTTCTCTCGCTACCTAAATAATATTCATTTAATATACCTTTTCTGGATTATAGAAAATCTTTGCTGTCCTGCTCGTCTTGATTATTGTAGTTCGTGTTGAGGATAGAGGTACTTTATCTATTGCCATATTGGTAGAATTTCTAAGCTCCGCATATTATTCGTCCAATCGTGAGACTTCACAAATGCATTTTAATCCGATGTCGTGTATTATTATGTAATTAATGGATCTTCTCTGTTTTACGAATAAATAAGAGGCATCTATTGCTGTTGTATAAAAACGATTAAGCTTATTTTTTTTTGACATCGAATGAGGCCTGTGCGTAGTATAAGATATACCAAAATTTTTGATTTACCTATCAGAAATAATTATGATCGGCAAAGATAACAGATCGTCCATAGTAGATAAATTTTTAATGAGCTGACCGTGTAATTCGAAAAAAACCAATGATTGTTGATAACTTTAATAGCGTGTACCCATAGCAAATCGACAATCAACGCCAGGGAGATTCTGAAATGCGTATAAAAACAGCTCGAATTCGTATAATTTTTCTACTTCATAACTATAACATTCAAATAAATATAATAAAAATCTGCTAAATCACGTTAATAAAACGTCATAAATTAATCAAAACATAAATTATATTAAAAAATATCATTCTTATATTCGTCAAAATCAAAGGTATGTTAGGATACTTGTATATCCCGTTGTATTATAAATGAACCACCAGACTGACTGATATTATTTTTTAGATGACGCCAACTGAAATTTCGAAGCTTTCAAAAAAATGCCATTAGAAAGTTATTTTATTTCAATTCCTATCTTGATTCTCATCGTGACATTGATATTTGGAGAAAAACTATTTATATACCTATTTATTGTCGTCATATGCTTCGTTTTCTATATTTTCAAACAACAAATCGATATGGAACTTAAATTATTAAAAGAGAAGCGAAAAACGAATCTAATGAAATATATAATAAAATAGACGATCTTACCGAAAAAATTTCTTTGTTTTATGAAGAGTTCCAACAACAAAGATTTCAGGAAGATGATACGTTAAATAATAATTCGAGTAATAATTCAAGCAATTTTTCAAGTAGTTCTAGAGGTAAGATCTTTAGTTATACTAAAGGCTTCGCTATTTCAACGTATAATATATAATGATACTTTGATGAGTTTCTCATAGTAAATCAAATATTTCCGTATTATATTAGGTTCAAGACGCACTTCGTTTTCTGATCCAGTTGTTCAGAAATTTAAAAACCTTTTTGACGAGACTATGCGAGAAAACGATTATTCTAAAGCCGATATGATTGCTGAAGTTGTAAGTGATCTTAGAAAGGAGAAGAAAATAAAGGTTGTATCGAGCAAAGCAGTGGAAAGTTATTATAATCAAACAACGAAACCCGACGCCAGGACTATAGGAGCGATTAAATCTTGGATCGAGCTCAAGACTAAAGGAAAAAACAAATCTACATTTAACGATAATGATAATGTTAATGAAGTTAGTGGCGATGATAGCGATGATGAAAAAAAATATAACAATAATAAATAGTTTTTTATCCGGTAGAGCCAAAGTATAGGGACGTATATTCATGGTCTAGGGGCCGTACGTTCTCTCCCTTGCAACTCTACCGTAAAATTATTTTATTCTTGTATTTCGCTTGATTAATCATTAAATCATAATGATAATAATAAAAAGAATCTGCAACAAGCCGAAATTTTATTATTACTATGTAGATCCTTTCTTTCATCAATGGGGCACGAATTAATTGATTCGAATAAGAATTTGTACTGCGAATATGAATTCGATTTTTTTTAAACGTTTGCATTCGTCTAATTTTCCACAAATATCTGTGGAATTTTATACTATTGTTTCGCATTACAGAGAATTTTAAAAAACATATAAAATTCGTTAAAACGTAATTAGTAATTTCTGTATGACGAAGTTTAAATGCAATTTTCTTGTTCCATTTATTATTTAATGCAATTAATATGTATATATCGGAATAAAGGATTTGAATTAGGGCAAGCTTATTCAAAATCATATTGAAAGTGATAATAATTAGTGATGTAAGCTGGCTAAGAATCCGGATAAATTTTTATCAAATAACTTTACTAGACAAATAACATGCTAATACTTTTTATGAATTTATTAAAGATCAATTGTTTATTATCTTTACCAAGTCTATTTCTTTTCTTTGTAAATAGATGAAAAAACTTCTCGGATAGTCCTAAGCTTGCCAGTGTTATTACTATCACTACTATCGTTATTCTTGCTATTTCATGGTCCATTATTACTAGGGTTTCTATTCGAATAAGGTTTATTCGAATTATTTACATTGAAAGTTTATTTGAATAAAACGAATAAAACATTCGAATAGCTGAAAGCGAATAATTCGAATAAGAATTGGTATTACGAATAAAAACTCTGTTAATATTGCTTTATTTTTTATCATGCTACAAATATTTTTTTGAACTCATCTCAATTAAGTATCTATGTCACTGAATTCTGCACTAAAATTCCATGAATGTTAAGAGAAAATTTTTTTTATCATCTTATCTGGCTCACACCACTAATAATAATAATAACTTAAGTGATGAGGACTCTTCAGAAATAGATGAGTTTTAGATGAAAAATCAAGTGGAATTGATGTTGATTTTATTGTGAACAATTGATATTAAAAACCATTACCTAAGTTACATTCATGGGTACACCACACATGTAATTCAATAAAAATATTATGGCCAAACAGTTCCCTACTCAAGTCAGGTAGGTAAATTTACCAAACTTCACTAAATAAAATTTATTAAATATTACCTCACTAAAAGAAAAGAAAAGAAATAAAAAATAATAATAATAATAAATGGTGACAAATATAAAATAAGAGAAAGTTTATTATGCATGGAATTAGTATGAATTCATTTGTTAGAGATAGATTGATTTATTATCATTACGAAAATATAAAATTCGAAGCCAACAACAAGGACAAGGACAGTTGTTGTTTATTAAATAATTGTTAGTTAACGATACGATGATGATGATTATACGATGATACATAAATTAAGAAAATTACAACGTTATTTATAATATGTTAAAAGTTTAATTATCTAGTTCTCTGATCTCCTATATACAACTCCTAATTTGCTCTAATTAAATGTATTCCTTAAACATTATTTGAACCTTCTGTGTAAGAATTGTTTTCAAGTTCTTTTCGTTTAAGAATCTAAGAATTTTCGTGAGTTACAGTGTGTAACGAAAATAATGGCGGTTCATGATACAAAATTATTTTGCATAACAAACAATAAAATGTGTTGTTTATCATGATTCGCATATCTTTACCAGCTTTCTTATCTCTCATTGAAGACATTTATAAAATAAAAAGCTTCATCTACATCTACTTTCTATCTCTAGCATCTAATTAGAACGTGTTACACGAAGATTGAGGCCTACCTTCAAAATGTTTCACGTTATTTACATTACTGGCCTGACAATGCTCATTCGTCAAGGAAAAATACATCAGGAAGCGAATATTCCCTTTCATACCGCCGAACATAATTTCAAAATGTCTAAAGAATGAGTACCATTGAACATAATGGCTGTCTGATCCAAGGTTTTATATAATTTTTTTCAAAAATAATCGGATTTCTTTTATTTTTAATTGACAAAATTTTAGAAAATATAGAAGCATGTAATTTTATATGCAAAATATTCAGAACTTAAGCTACAATCTGATATAAATTTTTGTATAATTATGCGTTAGAATAATTACTAAAAAATTTCACATCAAAATTTTTAAGTCTGAAATTTTGTGAAGGTTTTAAAAAAAATATGTGAATTAGCTTTGCAATATAAATTTTTTTATTTCAAATGAATCTAAACCTATTTAATTATGCATTACAATCACGCAAACCCACATTCACAATATTTGTTGAGATATTCAACATTTTGTCGCCGCCATTATTTTCGTTACCTGCCGAAACTCTGCCGATTGATCTCCAGAGGAGTTTTGGCAAGCACGAAGAGAAAATCAGAAAACTGATCAAGAATTCAAACCAGTCCAATTTGATATTTGTTACTCAATCACTGTAATAAACCAATAAAATGATCACAGTGTGTTACACACTAATTGTTAGAGTTTCGCATTTAGGGATTTCGACAATTAGCAGAGTTTCGGCAGTCATTAAGAGGTTTGGCAAGCAACCTTATTCGTGCGTGCAATAAATCATTTCCGATTTATTATTGATTTTCTGTGATCCATAAATTATACAATATATATAAATATATTATTATGGTTAGCTAAAAACAGTTCTTTTAGGAAAATACAAATAATTTTTAAAAATGTTTTTTTTCAACGAAGTGGCCAATAAGCATTCTCGTGATACTTCTACTGACAAAAAAGTTGATAATAAAAATTCAAAGAGAAGAAAAAAAATTTATGACAAATGTTCAACCTGCAATAGATATAATACTAGTCCAGCATGGTGTCAATCATGTGATCCAAAGCTATTAACTGAAAGATGGACTAGTGGCAATGAAACATTAGATGAGTTGATTAAAATTACACAACTTAAAGCAACTGAGTATAATAATAGTAAGCATCTTCAATGGGTTCCTTATAATCATTTAACAAATATTAAAAAGATAGGTAGATGTGGCTTTGAAACTCTATATGAAGCTACTTGGTTAAATGGCAATAAATATACAAATTATGAAAATAAAAGAACTAGTGAAGATATGGCTGTGGCATTAAAAAAATTAAATGATTCGCAGGATATTTCTGATAAATTTCTTAATAAGGTGAATTATTATATTTTTCTATTTATTTTCTGATTTTTTAAATATTATTAATATTATTCTGAATTCAATATATTTTTTTTATATAGTTCAGAGATTATATTACATTTTATGGTGAATATTTTATAAATAAAATTTATGGATTAACACAAGATCCAGCTACAAAGGAATATATCTTTGTAATTAAATACATAGAAGATGGGAGTCTTCAAGATTATTATTATGATGATGAATATATTAGTATTAGAGTTGAATTTTATGATGAATGTCCAACATGCAAGAGATATAATACTGATTTGGCATGGTGTCAATCATGTGATCCAAAGCTATTAACTGAAGGATGGACTAGTGGCAATGAAACATTAGATGAGTTGA